ATAATATACTATATATTTTCCCATATAAATAATAAAATGCTCTAGGCATATATATGTGTGTACATATATATGCCTTCATAATATACACATATAAAATACTATATAATATATATACTCTAGGAATACATATATGCCTATATATGCACCTATATATTTATGTATTACTATATAATCTATAGCATATATATTACTATATAATATATATAAATATATGCCTAGAGTGTTTTTAGTTTGTCAGTGGGCTGTCTCTGAATTCTATATGAAGAAATAAAATGTAGATCTTATTGTTTAGCATCATAGTAATTATCGTTACATATCTATTCAGATTACTTTTGCACCAACCTAATACGTTGTATGATTCCAAAACCAAAGACAATATAGATTAAAATGATATTCCATCTTGTCTACCTTTATAGACTTCACCTAACACAAGTCAGGGGATATTGATCATCATATTAATACAATTTTACTCTGACCTAAAAATTATACAACTGCTAAAGGAAAAATCAGAACCAAGTAAAACTGTCATTAACAACCCCCCTGAAAATCCATATTTTTTAAAAGTCATTTTATAAAGTCTCTCAGACAAGATGTGTTACCCTGTAAGTTTAATCAGTTTTACTTTCCATTTTCTCTTCATTAAGGTGATAAAGATCATCATTAGTAGAAAAATTTTCCCTTATTTGCCTCCTTTTCCATTTACCCTATTTAGTGAGAAATTTAGCCTCTCATAACTTCTAAAGTAACAATGTTAATCTGATAAACTAAACCAAGGTGACATAAGTTCAAGACAATATTTTTTTTCTTCAACTTTTAAGTTCTGGCGTACATGGGCAGGATATGCAAGTTTGTTACATGGGTCAATATATGCTATAGTGGTTTGCTGCACAGATCAACTCATTGCCTAGATATTAAGCCCACCATCCATTAGCTGTTCTTCCTGATGCTCTCCCTCCCCTAACTCCCACTGAGAGGCCTTAGTGTGTGTTATTCCCCACCATGTGCCCATGTGTTCTCGTTGTTTGACTCTCACTTATAAGTGAGAACAAGTGGTGTTTGGTTTTCTCTTCCTGTGTTAGTTTGCTGAGGATAATGGCTTCCAGGTCCATCCATGTCCCTCTAAAGGACATGACCTCATTCCGTTTTATGGCTGCATAGTGTTCCATGGTGTATATGTTCCACATTTTCTTTACCCAGTTTATCGTTGATGGGCATTTGGGTTGATTTCATGCCTTTGCCATTGTGAATAGTGCTGCAGTGAACATAATGCATGCAGGTATCTCTATAATAGAATTATTTATATTCCTTTGGGTATATACCCAGCAATGGGATTGCTGGGTCAATTTCTGCTTCCAGAGCTTTGAGGAATCACCACACTGTCTTCCACATTGGTTGAACTAATTTACACTCCCACCAACAGTGTAAAAGCGTTCCTTTTTCTCTGAAACCTCTGCAGCACCTGTTATTTCTTGACATTAGTAATCACCATTCTGACTGCTGTGAGATGGTATCTCATTGTGGTTTTGCTGTTACGCTTTTTTTGTATGTTTGTTGGCTGCATGACTGTCTTTTTTTAAGTGTCTATTCATGTCCCGTCTATTCATGTCTTTGCCCACTTTTTCACTGGGTAGTGTATTTTTTACTTGTGAATTTGTTTAAGTTCCTTGTGGACTCTGGATGTTATACCTTTTTCAAATGGGTAGATTCCACAAATGTTCTCCCATTCTGCAGATTGTCTGTTCTCTCTGATGATAGTTTCTTTCGCTGTGCAAAAGGTCTTTAGTTTCATTAGATCCTATTTGTCAATTTTTGCTTTTGTCACAATTGCTTTTGGAGTTTTTATCATAAAATCTTTGCCCTTACCTATGTCTTGAATAATATTGCCTGGATTTTGTTCTAGGGTTTTTATAGTTTTTGGATTTTACATGTAAGTCTTTAATCCATCTTGAGTTAATTTTTGTATAAGGTATAAGGAAGTGGTCCAGTTTCAATTTTCTATATATGGCTAGTCAGTTCTACCAGCACCATTTATTAATTGCTTCTTCAGGTTTCCCTATTGCTTGTTTTTTTCAGGTTTGTCATGATCAGATGGTTGTAGGTGTTTTTCACTAACACAATCGTAACATACTTTTCATTGAAAACAACACAACTCAAAATGTTCTTAGTAACCAGTTATAAGTGTTTTGTGCATACTTACAAACTGTCATTCTAATCATAAATATTTTGTGGTTGCTTATAGCTACAAAATGTAGGTAATATAGTTTATACAGCATATTCTTTATAATCCCGATTTCTTTCACATATTTTAATTAATATGAAACTGATAAAGTATGCACAAAGGGTAAAGGAGAGTAATTTTCTTCAAGTTTACACATTTAAGGACTCATAGTACAATGATTAAACATTAAATTTCTCCACTGTAGGAGAATTAAAACTGAAATATTGAGTAACATCTTACATTTCATTTAGTAAGTGCTAATAAAGTGTTTCTGTCATAATTTTCCTTATTTTAAAAGAAAAGACATGATTTTAGTTTTAGGTTTTAGTAAACAATTTTATGGACATAGTGGGATTATTTCTAACAGGTTAAACTGAAATGACCATCATGGACATATATATTATAAATTCACATATGAATGCTATATGATAAAAACTAACTTATGCTAAATACCACATGGATGAATCTCAAAACCCATGTAAAGCAAAAGAAAACCACAAAAGAATCTTGCCATTTGATTACACTTGGGTAGTTTTTAAAATAGGCATATCTAAACATAGTGTTTAAAAATGCAAGCTTGGGTAGTAAAAACTATAAAGAAAAGCAAGAAAATAATTACCACAGAAGTTATGTAGAGGTTATCTTTGGGGAAGGAAGATGGAATAATGATAAGACAGGGGCAAAGAAAGGCTTTTTGGTTCTTGAAATGTCCTATTTCTTGACTTGGCTGGTGAATGCATGAATGTTCACTATGTGATAAGTCAGTGGCTGTTTTCATTTTGTTCCCTTTTATATATGTGTGGATTTTTCCACAGTTGAAAAGGTAAAGTTCAGGTGTGGTGGCTCACACCTATAATCCCAGCCAGCACTTTGCAAAGCCAAAGTGGGAAGAATCACTTGAGGCGAGGAGTTGGAGAGTAGCCCAGGCAACAGAGTGAGGCACTATCTCTACAGAAAATGAAAAAAAAAAAAAGTAGCTGGGCATCTTAGTACATGCCTGTAATTCTTGCTACGTGGGAGGCTGAGGCAAGAGGATCACTTTAGCCCAGGAGTTTAAGCCCGCAGTGAGCTAGGGTTGTGGCACTGCGCTTCAGGCTGGGTGGCAGCAAGACACTGAGTAAAAGAATAAAATAAATAATTAAAAGTTAAAATATAGGAAAAAATGAGCATAGCCGTATGCTAATTTTTCAGTTACTAGGTCCGATATCATCACATTCCTTTTTTGTCATTGAAAATTGTTAAAACTATAAGATACTGGTTTTTTTAGTGGTATTTTTCCAATTAAATCTGCTAACAAATTTTGGTGTATAATTCTCAAGGGTAAGCGTGTGTGCAGAGAGAGAGAGAGTGTGTGTGTGCATGTGTGTGAGAGAGAGAAAGAGAGAAGCCAGGGAGGAGAAAAAGAAGGAAGGGGGAATGAGTGGAAAAAGATAATAAAGAGTTGTTCTGATAGATTAAACTTTAGTAGATGTATTCCCTACTAATTGTTTTTCTCCATATTGCAGTGTCAGGTAAAGAAAGGCATCCCAGGATGAATTCAGAGCTAGGAACATGCACCTTTGTATCATAATGCTGATGGAAGGAACATGTACATTCTAACTGTTATCAATAATGGAATATATTTCCATTGTTAAGTAATGAGCCTCAATTCTTTGGATTTTTGTGATCCATTTGATAGTAGAAGCCTCAGCATTTCAATTCTGCTATAAGTACATGGAGATATATTTTATTTAAGTCATCTTATTCATGTCTTTCAAAAAGAAATTAATTTTTGACCAAGGATTTCCAAACTTTGCCCCATATGTAGGTATAATTTATTATAGACTTAGGTTGCAAAATATTAAATCCTTATATCCTTTAGGGACACAATACAATTTTATCAGTTTGAGATAATGTACCTGTAGTTCTACCTCACGCCATGGTGAGAGACTGAAGTGCCCCTTCATTTTAATATTTTGGGTTCAACTTGTTACATAAGGGCATGCAAATGGAAGCTGGCCTATTTTTGAGCTTTAATAAGATTGTCAAATACTTCTTAATCATAAGAGTTATAGTTATGTACTACAATATGTATAATTCTCTGCAATTTAAAATAAAACCCAAAAGCCACAAAAGCTTACTGTGAAATAAAATATGATGGAATATTATTTCTAACTGGCTTATCTGTATTTCATTCATTGAAGGGAATATGAAGTAGAAAAGCCCTTTTATTGAAAAGAGTTTGGAAAGTAAAGACAACTCTTTTTGATTCAATTCTTTGTAAGTAGAAAAGAGTAAAGATAAGGTTCTAGCTGTCAGCAGATGTCTGACACTTGAAGGAGTGTATCATTACAATAGAGCAGCTAACAATATCTGCAAAGGTCATCATGAAAATACAAAAATGAGGAACATTTGTCCGTTGACCATTTCAGTGACCTCTTTTTGGGCTTTAAGTCTAAAAAACTTGGCAGATCAGAACTTTATATTTGGCATTTTGAGTGTCAAATCTCTACATGATGTGCAAGTCAGAAGGAGTTATTACTTGCAAAATACCATCTTCTTTCAGAAGTTAAACTCACATTAAATGTCAGGAGACTGAAACACTGATTTTAGGAAGACAAAGTTTAGAAAAGATGAATGAAAATGTGTGTTAAAGAAGAGTCACCAGTCAGAGCTAACTATGATAGTCATAGTATTTAAAGAGTTGGAACACATGAAATTAAGCGTTTTGTAAAATGAAGGCTTTTCTTCCATCCACAAAGATTCTGACATTTAAACTATGTTTCTTCCATTCTGTTCACAG